GTGAGTGAGTGAGTGAGTGAGTGAGTGAGTGAGTGAGTGAGTGAGTGAGTGAGTGGGTGAGTAATTGATTGATTGATTGATGGATTGATTAATTGAGTGAGTGAGTGAGTGAGAATAGAAGAGCAATTAAACATTTATTGCATAAGTTGGAGAGAAAGCTAGAAAGAGAAAATGTTTGTGAGATAATGAGTAAATGAATAAAAAAAGAGGTTTTTTTTCTATAAATGATATCTCTAGTTACTCTGATGACCCCGATCCCTAATTCGTGTCTTATTTATCTTCCACACCCCCAATCCTCCATTCCCCCATTCCCCCAATCCTCCACTCCCCCCATCCCCCAATCCCCCACTCCCTCAATCCTCCACTCCCCCTATCTCTCAATCCCTCCAATCCCCATAGATCTGCGCGTACGTCGGTCCTGTCATCATGGCAGTGGGGATGTTCGCTATGATCGTGGCTTGTGTCTTCTACTGCGAAATCCTGGACAAGTACGCCATATTGGTGCCTGAGCGGAAGTCCGGTCTGTATGACAAGGAGGAGCTGTACCAGGTGATCGTAGGTGAGATGAAGAAGTCCTACGCCCAGACGCTCATCACCGCCTACACCAAGGCTGCAGAGCGGAGCCTTCTTGCGGCAGACACACAGAGCGTGAGTGACAACTTCCTGCCCGACTTCCCCATCAAACCCGAGCCACTAACCATTGAGCAGCAGATTGATATCGAGTGCGAGGGTTACGCACCCTCCCCTCCAGTCCCCAACAAACGTTATAGCGTCATCCAGGCAAGGATACAGAGACTGAGGAGTGAGGACCATTGGTTGAAAACCTCCTCCCTTCCCAACATTCGCCGGTCAGATCGGATCAACAGCATCAAGCGTGCGGGTCGCGCTATCGTCAAGTCCAAGGGGAGTTCACTCAGCTGTGACTACACTATGGACGAAGCTAGACTAAGGCGGAAGTCTATGATGCTTCGCTCCATCGTGCAGTGGAATTCAAGTTCTTCCGGAGACCTCAACGGTCAAAGGCAGCGACGGTTTTCTTCCGTGAAGGCGTTGCCTTCCGAGCAAAATACGGATAACTGGGACGCCGTGTCTCATGCAGGGTTCGCCGGTTCCTACCCCATGACTCGACTCATTCAGCGCCGCGGGACTTTCGCCTGCGGGGATATGAGAACTAGGAGAATGAAGTTCCTCTTGTTACTTCAAGCCTCAGAGAGCAAGGATCTCTTTTCCGACACTGTTTCGATCGACGGTCGTGTTTCGGTGCCCGGAATACGACGTAACTCATTCATACCGTACACAACTTGCGATCGGTTTATTTCCGGGGAGGAGAAGAAGACGATGAGAGACAGCAGACGGTCGTCGGTGAATCCATTTATGTTCGGACAACGGTTCGCTACCGAACCCAAAGCCGGCACTCGCAGGCATTCGTTCTTCCCGATCCGACGTGACGATAAGATCTACGTGGTCGACCCCAACGAGCAGCGGAGACATTCCTTCAACCCAATATGTGTCAACAACACTCTAAAACCTGAGTTTGCAGCAAAATTAGACGGTCGACGAGGGTCTTTCAATCCAGACGCACGTCGAGGTTCTTTCAATCCGGATTCGCGGAGAGGGTCCTACAATCCTGATAGTCGTCGGAGTTCATTCAATCCGGACAGCAGGAGGAGTTCATATATCCCTGATTCTCGCAGAGGTTCCTTCAATCCGGACAGTCGGCGCGGTTCCTACATCCCAGATGGCCGACGTGGGTCGTACGATCCGGACTGCATGCCAGACCGGGCCGCAGACGGGAATAGAGCCCACGAGGTCCCGCCACAGAACTCTTTCTTCCTTCAGGTGAGAAGCGCAAAACAGTCTTGATACAGATATGAATGTAAAATCATTCTCTCTCTCTCTCTCTCCCTCTCTCTCTCTCTCTCTCTCTCTTTTTTTTCCCCCTCTCCCCCTCTCTCCCTCTCCCTCTCTCTCTCCCCCTCCCCTCTCTTTCTATAGATAGATAGTGAGATGGATCGATAGATATTAAATACAATGATCGACAGAGAGACAGACAGACAGTCAGACAGACAGTCCGACAGACATAGTGTTAGAGGATGGGGAGGGGATTGAGTGGGACGGGAATGAGGTGGGGACAGACATGGGGGAATATAACACATGATAATGGTACTCGAAAGCACGAGAATCTATACATGCATACATGTTCATGTCTGCTTGAGTATATGCTTGTTTTTCCATTCTTACTGTATTCTTTCTCCCTTTCTCACTTAGTCTGACGGATGAGGGGGACGTCGTGTATCTGTGCTTGTTATGTCTGTATGCTATAGTTCTCTCTCTCTCTCTCTCTCTCTCTCTCTCTCTCTCTCTCTCTCTCTCTGTATGTGTGTGTATGTATGTATGTGTGTGTGTGTGTGTGT